AGGGGGCTGAGGGGGAGGCGCGTCGGGTGCTGGGGTCCTGGGACGATCCCCCGTCGGGGCCGAGGGCGGCGGGCCGCGGGGAGGAGACTAGGGCCGCCCGGCCCCGCGAGGTTGCGGGCTGCCGGCTGCCAGCGGCGTGGAGGAGGGTGGAGACCTCGCCGACTTGGGTGTTCCCGCCGCCCGGTCTGGCCCCGGACGCGCTCCGAGGGTGGGTGCTCACCTCGCCCCTCCGAGCCTCCCTTTGCCTCTCCGCAGAGTGGGCACAGCGACCGCGCCGGGCTGCAGGGCTTTTGAACGTGTCACCAGGTAAAGTGGCTGCCCCATCTGTCCAGGGAAGAGTCCGTTATGGGGGTCCTCCTACCTCTCTCCTACTCGGCCGCCGGCCTCGCCCGCCTGGTAAACCAGCTCCTGGCCGTCTTGTCCGCTTCTGCGGGTGTCCTCCTGCCTATTTCCCATACAATTCCCTCTGGAGGGGCAGAGAGCCGGTGCATGGTAGCTTTGCAGCTGCCCGCCCTCCTCCTGGTACACTGGTCCTCCCCTCTCACTGAGAGTAATCTTGTAATCCAAGTAAAATCTATCTGCCCTTGAAGACGAGAGATCCAGCAGTGGGACAACAGGGACAGTCCCCAGTCTTTGGCCGTTTGGGCCCAAAGCAGTCAATGGCTGGTGCCCCTCTGGGTGTGAGAAAGGTTAAATCACAGTTGGCCAAGCTCACCTGGTGACTCACTTAGTAGACCCCCGTCTAGCCGGGCTCTGACCAATAGTGTATCCAACGATAGTCTGCCTGAGTCGGAACCAACTTCCCTGCACCGACCAACAACAACATGCTGGCTCACAACCATTGCTGTGTTGCAAACCTGTTGAGTCTCGGAAACCAGAGGCTTCCTGCAGGAGTGCTGAACAGTGAGAGAGAAAGCAGTGCACTGGATGGGCTCGGGGAGGATGTGACCTGCCAGACACTGTGAAATTGGGGGTTTCCCCAGGACGGTGAGTGCTGGTGTGCACACGCCGGTGACTGGAAGCCCACCCCAAGGCAGCCCTCAGGATGTTTCCTTGTTGCTGAGAGGGCCTAGCTGCTTGAGAAAAGCTGGCAGCGCCTTCTCCAGCCTGCTGCCCAGCTGAGCCCATCCCCTTGTGCTCCCCTCGTCCTGATTGTGAGCCCGGAGACACCAGCTTCATTCAGATAGCAGCTCATGCACTACCTGTAACCACAGGCTCCATCTTAAGGCACCTCGTGGGTCATCAGATCCACCAAAACCCAACTCCTGTACGAGTCTGCAGACCAAGAGCTGAAGGCACCTGGCTGGATCCTTTTCATACCTGTTGTGTTCCTTTTAACCATCTTGTAAAGGGGATGTGGAGCCCTGGTGGGGTAGTGGTTAAAGAACCCCAGCTGCTCCACAGGAGGAAGATGAAGCAGTCTGCCTCTGTAAAGATTTACAGTTTCAGAAGCCCTAGGGAGGCAGTTCTGTGCTCTCCGGGGTCCTTGTGAGAACCAGTTGGATGGCAGCAGGGTTTTTTTGGGGTGGTGGTGGGTGGTGGGGAGGGCGCTAAAGGAGTTGCTGTGGTCTCAGTTCACAGGTTAAGAAAATGAGATGCCAAGAGGTTCGATAACTTGTCCAGACAACAAGAAGGACCACAAGGCAACGTTCAAACCCACACTTGTTGGTCATCCTGGGTTCAAGCACCCTGTCGACAAAAAAAAGTTAACCTGCTCGGTTTTCAGGTGGTCTAATTAGTAGTAACTCATACTCGACCTGGATTTGTAAACCGCTCCAGTTACATGGAAAAGAACTAGCGGTTGGCATTTGAGTGTAGCCATTGAAAACAGCCCTGGGGCTCCTAGTTTCGTTGTATTTTTAAGACTATTATTCCATCTCTTGGAGTCTGCACTCTTCAGGACATGCTCCTAAGAGCACGTGCCTGGGCCGGTTCAGCAGTGATGGGCTCCGGTGGCTATGGCATGCTGTACTTCTGTGACTGTACCTGCGGTCGTATTTGTTGGTGTGTTTGGCAGCCCCATCAAGTCATTAGCTTCCATGGCCATTGGTCACATTAACATGTAAGCCCCTCAGTCTGCTTTCACAGGGACTGTAGTCCCGGCTTCCATACATTTTGTCCCCCCTGTACATAATTCTGTCTGAACAATGGTTGGAACCACATATTTGGCACATACCCAATACTACCTTGATTTGCTTTGACGTTTAGAAATCGTCCACTAGACACTGCCTCTAACTGGAGACGGATAGATGAATTAGGTGGAGACCCTGCCCTCCAGGAGCAGGTCTAGCCATAGAGTGAGCAAACACCTGAATAGAAGCCAGCTATGGACAGGCGCCACGGGCCTCCAAGGTGCTAATTGCCTGCCTAAGTCTGGGGTGCTAGCTTTCCCTCTGCATTGTGTCTTGGCTCAAGTCCAACCTCAAGCAGGGAAGAGTAGCCCTGGAAGGGAGTATGTGAATGGCTTGCCTGAAGAGCAGGCTCATGAGATGGGCAGAGAGTGACGCCAGGTAGACGCCTGGTGTTTCTGTCCATGTCCCAGAAGGGAGTGGAGCTGAGGCCTGGGGATCCCTGCTTTGCCTCCTCCCCACCTTCCTTTCTGTTCTGGTAGCTATGAGCAGGGGCACTGCTGGGAAGAAAGGAACTTGGTGCTTTGTTTCAGAGCTAGCAATTTTTTGTGGGGGTGCTGGGGTCACTGTGACCCTCTTCCACCAAGATTTAGAGTGGGTGCACCTCAGAGAATGTAGTGGGGGTTGGGGGCTGAGGAGAGGTACACAGTCTTGAGTACTGGGCTGGGCTTGAAAGAAGAGAGCTAGAAGCAGGCTAGGGCTTACAGAGTGCGAAAACCCACGGGGGTGCTCTTGGTTGGGGGAGACCAAGTTTCTGTGGGGAGGGTGAGAAGAGGGGAGTCTGAGTTAGAGCTGAGGGTGTTTTCCAGAGGGCTCCATCTCCCAGGTGAACTGGGAAAGGGGCCTTTCCCAAGGACAGGGTAGGATGGGTGAGAATGCCTTTGTACCCTGAGACGCCGCTCCTCAAGGAAGATCTTTGGGGACAGACCCTGTCTCTTGGGTATCCCTAGAAGCTGATGCACAGTAGATGCCAGGCTTCTTTGGGGAAGGAAGCCAGGGCACCACCCCCACGTCTTTTGACAGAGGGGAGGGTGTGCTATAGGCACAGACAGTGGTCTCCCACAAGATCAGGGCATGCCGAACGGAGGCAAAGGGCCAATACTACCCACTCTCGTTTCTGCTCATCCTCTGTCCGCTCCTGCAGTAGCTTCCTCGGCCTTTGCTCCTTAGCTGTATTCTCTTGGCAACTCATGCCTGGGGCCGAGCATGGCTACCCCAGCTCTGAGTCCTGGTGACCTTTCTTTCCTTGCTGGAAAAGCTGAGGAGGAACCTGCCCTTAGTCCTAGGCTAGTGGCTAGCCTGGGCTTCCCGTTGATCTGGTCCTCTTCATAGGTCAGTGTCTTAGCCAGGATGGAAAGGAGGTGTATGTGTGTGTGTGTCATGGGCATGGCCACCTCACTATGTAATATAGTGTGTATATATACTATATAACATATAGTATATATGATAGCTATGGAATGAGCAGGGCAGTTGCCTCACGACATGGTTAGTTCATCTGGTTTAGTGTCTGTTGGATCCCCTTTATGTCTCAGGCACTGGGGAACCATAGGCCCCAAAACAAAGAACAGACTCTGCAGTGTGTGTTTGCATAAGGTAGACTCTGAGAATAATTTGAGCACTTCTAATGACTGTGCAAATCTGCAACACAAGACCTCTTTAAAGTGGTAGATAACTCTTTGAGGGCCACGGTGTACCTGACCCAAGCCATGGTATTTTCAATCACCTCATATGCGTAGACATGGAGTAAGGAGGGCCAAAGAAGAACCGATGCATTTGAATGTTGGGGCTAGCGAGAACTATTAAAAGTACCATGGACGCCAGGAGAACAAGGAAGTCTGTCTTGGAAGAAGTCCAGCTATCAGGCTCCTTACAAGGAAAGATGGCAAGCCTTCATTTCACGTCCTGCGTACATGTGATCAGGAGAGACCACTCCCTGGAGGAAAACCTGCGGGTAAAGTAAACTATCAGCAGCAAAAGAGAAGACCCTGACACCACGAGTGGACACGGGCTGCA